TGCATGAAATAAATGCAACATAATTACAAATATTTCTAAGAGAAGATCGAGTTATTACCCCTTTGGATGGATCACCTATAATCTCACCACCCTTGACATAGTTGTACTCTCTTGGATAAGATACTTCCCTTTCTTCAATGATTGGATTCTCAAGAGGATCATGAGTTTCCTCATTTTTCGTTTCTTCCTTTGATGATGGTTCTCCAACTTCATGTCTAACATCATTTGTATTTATAACACCTACATCATCATTCACACAAGAATCCTTCCTCGGAAGGGGATTATCATTGAAAACAACATGTATAGACTCTTCTACAACTAAAGTTCTTTTATTAAATACTCGATAAGCTTTAGAATTTAAGGAGCAACCCATAAAAATTCCTTCATCACTTTTAGCATCAAATTTGCCAAGGTTTTCTTTACCGTTTTTAAAACAAAACATTTACATCCAAAATGATGAAAATAGCTAATGTTAGGCTTTTTATTTTTGAAAATTTCATATGGAGTTTTCTTTAAAATTGGCCTAATCATTACTCGATTAACAACATAACAAGCAGTATTTGTGGCTTCCGCCCAAAATAATTTTGGCAAATTATTTTCACTAAGCATGGTTCTAGCCATTTCTTCTAAAGTTCGATTTTTCCTCTCAACAACTCCATTTTGTTGAGGGGTTCTAGGTGCTGAAAAATTATGACTAATACCATTAGAATTACAAAACTCAATAAATCCAAGATTTTCAAATTCAGTGCCATGATCACTCCTAACACTAGTTATAGAGTAACCCTTTTCATTTTGGATTATTTTTGAAAATGTGATGAACTGTTCTAATGCTTTATCTTTAGTACTTAAAAATAGAACCCAAGTATATCTAGAATAGTCATCTACCAAGACAAATGCATATTGTTTTCCACCCAAGCTAGTAGTCCTAGTTGGCCCAAAAAGATCTACATGGATCAATTGTAATACTCTACTAGTTGATACGTCATTAATGGATTTAAAAGAAACTCGCTTTTGTTTTCCTTTAGCACAAGCATCACAGATTTTATCATTATCAAATTTAAGCTTAGGCAACCCTCGAACTAAATCACCTTGAATTAGCCGTTGCAAAACACTCATACTAGCATGTCCTAGTCTCCTATGCCATAACCAACTATTATGTTCATCCTTAGCAACTAGGCACAAATTAGTCATATCAATAGAATCTAAATGCACCATGTATATATTTCCTATTCTATGACCAACAAGCATAATCTGATTAGATGCAATGTCAATGACTTTACAACCATTAATATCAAACATGACATTGAATCCCTTATCACAAAATTGACTAATACTTAATAGATTATGCTTTAATCCATTCACATATAAAACATTTTTAATTTGTATGGAAGAGGTATTACCAATAGTACCAATACCTCCAATGTGACCTTTTGAATCATCACCAAAAGTCACTTCTCCTCCATTTTTGGCGTTAAGCTTAATGAACCGGCTTTTGTCTCCGGTCATGTGTCTTGAGCATCCACTATCAAGGTACCATGAGTTTGAATTTGTTTCCCGTGCCTTGTAGCAATGCTCATTTTCCTACAAACATAGATTAATTTCTAATTTTTGGTACCCAAATTCTTTTGGGTCCATATTCATTAGTTTCCAAAATTCTAGTCCCCTTAGGTATCCATTTGTGTAGGATATCATTATCTTTAGTAGTAATGAGTTCTTTAGGAACCCATATACTTCTAACGATTTTTCCATTAGAGGCTCTTTGGAGACCTCTATGATTATAGTTTTTAAAACTTTTTCTAACAAAGTTGGATTTCGAATTTTCTCCAATTTCAAAACGTTTTGTTCCAACTTTATCAAAAGAAGTTTTAAGATCATCAATTTTCTTTTGATGATCATCATTGACCTTTGAAAGTAAATTTTGCAAATCTAAATTTTTCTTTTCAAAACTCTTCTAGTTTGATTTGCAAATCTTTGATTTTACTTTCAAGATCATTGTTGGTTTTGGATATGAGTTTATTTTCATTTTTTCAATTTTGAAACATCATTTTTTATATTTTAAAAACAATTTCTCATAATCCGAAGCCAACCCATTATATTCCTCTAATAGCACATCATAAGATAAATCATCAAAATCAGATGAGTTAGAGGTTACCTTAGAATCTTCCTCGAATGACATCAAGCACAAGTTTGCTACTTCTTGTTCCTCTTCATCGGAACCTTCTTCATCGCTCCATGTAGCCACATGAGCCTTGTGCTTAATCTTCGATTGACCCTTCCTCTTCAATTGTGGACAATCATATTTGACATGCCCTGGTTTTTTGCATTCATAGCAAATGATTGGGTCCTTCTCTTTTGGTTCAGTTTTGAGGCCTTCATTTCGTTTGAATTTTCTTCCTCGGTAAGGTCTCATCATTTTTCTGAACCGTTTGGCAAACAATGCCATTTCCTCGTCATCATCATCTTCATCCGAATCACTCTCATCTTTTGTGGATTTGAGAGCAACTCCAATGTTTTTCTTCTTCTTCTTCTCCTTCTCCTTTGGTGTCTCTTCAATCTTATCAAGGTCCACCTCATCTTCAAGCATCATTTCATGGGTGAGGAGTGAACCGATTAGCTCTTCAAGAGTTAAGGATGTTAGGTCCTTAGACTCTATGATTGCCGTCTTCTTTGATTGCCATGATTTTGGGAGGGAGTAGACTAACTTCCTCACAAGCTTTTCATTTGAAATGATCTCTCCATATGATTTGAGACCATTGACAATCGTTGAAAATCTATTCGTCATAGCTTTGATATCTTCATTTGGTTTCATCCTGAAATTTTCATAACTATGCGTTAGAATACTAATTTTAGATTTCTTTACCTCATCGGCACCTTCATGAGTGACTTGAAGTTTGTCCCATATTTCTTTGGTGGTTGTACAAGAAGAAACTCTTACATATTCTTCTGGTCCAAGAGCACAAAAATGATATGGATGGCTTTGGAGTTGAGCTGGAACATTTTTGTCTCTCCTTCACTCCACAATCTTGGATGAGTGAGAGGCTTGATGTATCCTTCTACTACGACATTCCATGCTCCCATATCACTTGCTTGAATGAAATACATCATTCTATTCTTCCAATAGGCATAGTTAGCCCCATTGAAGAAAGGAGGCTTGTTGACGGGCATCGAATCGAGACCGGAGTCGAAGTTTGAAGCGGAGGCCATTGATGACTTTGATTATCGATATAACTCTTCCCGAATCGACTCAAGAGGCGATTAAACCTTCAAATGAGTTAGGCTCTGATGCCAATTGTTGAGTTAATCGATCGACGGAATCGGCCAAGAGGGGGGTGAATTGACAATAAAAATTTCGGTGGAAGCTTTTATAGAAAATTGAAAAGATTTGCACAGCGATTTAGAGTGGTTCGACTTTCTCAATCAAAGTCTACGTCCACTACCTTAGCTATCCACACTAAGGATTTTCCACAAATTCACTAATTTGTCTTTCTTTTGAGGACAAAGAGTAACCTTACAAAGCCTTAAGAATTATACCCCAAATTCTTGAGAAAACTCTCTCCCAAAGAGAACAATACAAATTTGCAAACTTACAAGGAAATCCTCACAAGGTAGATTGTTTGCACAATTCTAGAACAAAGAAAATAACACTCAAAGATTAATACAATTGAGCACAATATGTGTTATTGAAAGCAAAATGAATATTGAATGAAAATAGGCTTGAAATGCTCAAACTTGAGGTTTGATCCTTTCTCTTTGATTCTCTCTTGATTCTAGTTGCTTGATATTTCTTGTTAATGATCAATGGCTCCTAAGCTTGCTTAAATACACCTTGAATGACTTCTGAACGTTGGGAATGATTAGTGAAGATAATATAGCCGTTTAAGTGTAAAATCAATTAATAAAACAGTTTGGAGCGTGGGGGAATCGGTACCCCTTGAGGGGAATCGGTTCCCTAAGTGTAAAATTCAAATATTTCGACCGTTGAACAGGGGGAATCGGTACCCCCTATAGGGGAATCGGTTCCCTCCGAGCATTCTGAAAATCTCGGAACCAAACCATTCAAGGGGAATCAGTACCCCCTTGGGGGGGAATCGGTACCCTCTGAGCAATCTGGAATTTTTGGCTTTGAAATGGTTCAAAATACTTTGAAAGATTATTTTGAAATTGTTTTAAGATTAAAACTTAATTTTACACTTAAGTAAGGATTAAAAATGACTTTTGAAAGATTTAGAGTAATATTTTGATATTCAAATAATTATATCGAATATACTTAGAAAATCATTTGGAAAATCTTAAAATTCATTTAACTTAATTTGTTATATCGAAATATCAAAATGTTTTCAACATATGTTTATGAAACTTAGGCTTTATAGCCGACCCGAAACCAGACCCTTTTCATTCCAAGATCCGCGTGTTTTTGATCGGGTAAGGGCTAATTGCAACCTCGATCCCTCTATTATTTTTAAAATCCTTTTCATGCTTTAAATTTAATTTTGATTTCTTTTTTCTTTTAAATTCGCCACCCGTTTTATTCTTTCTTTTAATTTGGTCATTCTCTCTATTCAATTCATGTTTATTTAATTATATTTTTAAAGTCATTGTATTTTATGAGTTATTGATCCTAGATTTCTTATTTATTTATTTATTTTTATTATTTTTCATTTCTCTTATTTTTGTTTTACATGATCTTGCAATTGATTTTTTAGTTTAATTACTCTTTCTTTTGCATTATCTATATTCTTTATGTTTTCAATATGTGTGATTTATCTTTGTTTTATTTATTTCTATCTTCCATTCCGTTAATTTCTATTTCTTGGCATGTATATAATTTTTATTTCGTTGTAAATATTATAATTTAATTTTTGTTTCTCTTTATTTTGATCAATTCAATATTTCATTTTTTTAACATCTTTTTTATCTTTTAAGAGTATTTTTTAAATCAATTAAAGGTAAATAATTTAGATCGAAATTTTATTTATAAATTTTATTTATAATTTTCTTAATTAAAACAACTGAAAATTAAGTTTATATCGAAAGGACAGTACAAGGGTATTAATCATTATTTGACTATAACCGACTCTCGAACCTGATATATTTTTTGTAAGACGCAAATCTGATAAGAAAATAAACTAAGATATCCGATCAACCTAATTTTTATTTTAAAAATAAATGATCGGTGACAACTTTAACTTATATACTCGAGTCAAAGTCTAATTTTGAATCTACTCGAAACGGCTGCGACAATGGACAAAAGGTGACACGATAATCAGGTCCGCCACTGCAGACGAAGGTGCTAGTTTCATCATCAAAAGCATAACTATAAGCCTGAGGGCACTGTTCTTTGAAGACCATCGAGAACTCCGACGGCTCACATGTCTCGGCTGAGTCAAAATCTCCAGTGCAACAGAACTCAGGATTACCGAAAACGTCGCAAGCGCTGTTGCAAGCGATGGTATTCCCATCAGATCCTGGAACAACCAGATCCGGCGGGCAAACTGCGTTCACGTCTGCCGCACAGCTCGTTGTGGTGCAAATCGGACCGGAGCCGCCTTGTGGGGCTATTGAAACCGGCAAGTTAAAGCCATTTACGAGGCTGACATCAAAGGTATCTTGTCCATCGTTTGCGCCTAAAGTGAACTCTGCGAGGGTTGCAGGTGGCTTTGGACCGGCACCATTGCAAGCGACCTGGCCCGACCCACAGTCTCCAGTGGCGCAAGTGAAACTTCCAGAGCATTGGGTTCGAGCCCAGATGACGCCTGCTGTCCATGTTGCTGGAACTTCAATGGGCTCTTCTTCTTGGGAGGGTAACTCGAATCCAGTGTTTGGCAACTGAGCTCCACCTCCGCCGGTAAGGGTTGCCGGCCAGATAGTGAATGCGCAGTTGTTTTTGACGGTTATGGTTACCATTTGAGCCCCTGCATGTGATCCATGCATTATCGTTGTGAAAGAACCAAAAAGTTAAATGGAAAAAAGGCCATTACATTTTTATTGGGCACAACTTTTCTTTTATATAAAGGGTTTTAAAGATTAACTAATTAATAAATAAATTAAATGGAAGTTTGTTTAGCTCTTAATCCATGATCTATTTCAATTTTTTTTAAAAAAAACTTGAAATTTTATTAAAAATATATATATTATATTCTAAAACAGGATAAAAGTAATAAATATGATACGATACAAAGGAAAATACGTTTACGCATCACAAAGTTACCCAAATGTAGTTAGAGAGAAGGTTTTGTTTATTACCTGAAAAGAGTATGGCAAAGGAAAGACCAAAGAGCGAGTAAAGCTTCATCGTGTGAATATAATTATATATCATAAATTGCTTTTTTGTTGTAGTTATGGTACGCAGACGCTTGTTTATATAAGATTAAGTACGGGGTGGGATCGAGTCCCATGAAGGGTATTTCATAATTTGGAAGTTTTCTACGAAAATTGAATTGATTTCAATCTAGTGTTAGTGACAATCTACTATCTTACCTCCCCACCATTTGCCATGCACCAACTCATCCCTTGCCATGTCAACCCTGCAACAAGCAAACCAAACTCACACTCCACACAACACATCAAAACATCAACGCAAAATCAAGTAAGATCTCAATGAAGATTTTTCTGTAAAAAAATAGGTATATTAACCCACGCTTGAAACTGTAAAAAGGTGACGGTTGTTTCGGAAAAAAATCCATCCGAAAAAAAAAATTGTAACCCGTTTTGTCTGAAGCAATAAACAACCAAGAATTTTGAGGTTTTTTTCTTGGTATTTTTGTTTTTTTTTTCTGTTTTACTGATCTAGTCCTCTGTTAAATTTTCAAACCCTTTTTTGTTTTATTTTTACAGAAGAGAAAAATAGTGTTTTTTTTTGTTGATCGAAACACTTTGAATCATGAGTAAAAAAAGCTCTTGTTTGTTTTTTATCATTCTAGAACCCCAAAAAAATAGTATTATTATAATGATGTATTTTATATTATTAATAAAGTTATTATTAAAAATTATTAATTTTCAAACTCATACCCAGGACTTTGAACAATGTAGCCGATGCCTTAGCTAAACTTGCAAGAGGAACTTCAAGTGGATATCAAGAGTTTCAACAACCTCATGGAGTAGTTGCAGATCTAATACAGGAAGAAAGCCTTGGGACTCACCAGGACTAGTCAGCTCTTGTTTGTTTTTTTATCATTCTAGAACCCAAAAAAATAGTATTATTATAATGATGTATTTTATATCATTAATAAAATTATTATTAAATTTTTTTTTTGAAATTTTGATTGAATTAATATCGTTGATCATCGAACATTAATTCAATCGAAAATAAAATACTATAATGATATTTTTTTTTATCTTTTCATAATTTTATATAATATTTCAATTAAATAATTAAAAATAAACTCATGTTTAATATGATTTATATATTAAATATTGATCATTCAACTTAAAATTTTATATTTTTTAAAATAATAAAATTTCCAATTAATAAATGTCTTTGAGTCTAAGTTAAACCATCCATCTCATCCACACACTGAATTGAATTTATATAAAATCAAAGACAAAATTAATTAGTTTTTACTCTTTTCTACCCTCTTTATTAAATATCCTTCGTCGGAACGATTATAACCCTTCTTGTGGTTGTCTAAGAAATTAATGTGATGGCATTAATTTAATTTCTATTCAAAAAAAAAAAAGAAAAAGAAAACTAATTCAAATAAATGGAATATTGTTATAAACTTATGGTTGCTAAAATGACAACATTGATAATATTTCATTAATTCTGTTTTATCTCGTTAAATTAGTCCCTTGTAGTGCTTAATTTCAATTATAGCCGGTACCTAACTTTTTTTTAATAGACTTAACCATATAATTAATATATTTTAATTGTTGACAAATTGTAAACACCAATTTTTATCAAATGCACAAGACACCACTGCCATGCACCAACCCATCCCTTGCCACGTCAGAAACTCCTGTAACAAGCAAACCAAACTCACACTCCACGCAACACATCAAAACAACAAAGCAAAAATAACAAGCAAGATCTCAATGATGGTTTTTCTGTAAAAAAATGGGTATATTAACCCACACTTGAAACTGTAAAAAGGGGACGGTTGATTCGGGGAAAAAATCCTCCCGAAAAAAAATACTATAACCGTTTTGTCTGAAGCAATAAATAACCAAGAATTTTGAGGTTTTTTTCTTGGTAAGCATGCATGTAATATCAGACTAAACAACCAACATGAACAAACCAACAGTCAAAATTACGAGAAATAAAAGGAAAGTAGGTCGGAAAGTTACCTGAGTCGGGCAGTGGTCGCCGGAGTCCGGAGTAGCCGAGGAGTTTCGGTTAGTTTAGGGACGATTTAGGAGGTTTTAAGCCCTAGGCTAGACTCGGGGTGGGTAGAACTAGGTTCGGCGTTGTTTTTGGGGTGTTTTGAGTTTTCCTGTAGGCCGACCGATGGAAAAAACTAGAGAGTTTTAACCTTTTTTTTGGGTTTTTTTAACTCTCGTGTAAAATGAAAGAATAAAAGGAAAAGTTGGTATTTACAAGGAAACTTAAAGGTATAATTCGTTTTAACCCCCATAGTTTTGCCGTGTTTTAGCAGTTTTGTCCCTTAAGGGACCAAAACTGATATTTTATCTTTTGTTTGTGCATGCTTTATATTTTTGGTTTATTCAATTTTTAATTCCCCAAACTTTTTCGTGTTTTATATTTTGATCACTGGATCTTTCATTTCAAATTTATTGATATTTTATCATATATTTTGTTTCATTTTAATTTTGTCAATGTTAGTTTCTGATTTAGCTATTATTATTTTGTTTTTTCATTTTGATCACTATTTATTTCTTATTTAACAACTAACTTTTATTTTCTTGCATTTTAGTAACTGTTATTTTATTTTATTTTATTTATTTTATGATTGTTTTTGTTTGTTTGTTTGTTTTTATTTATTTATTGTTTTAATTTTTTTAAATTAAGTTATTATTAGTTGTTTTGATTATTTCATAGTTTAAATTCTAGATTTAGATTTTAAATTAGATTAATATTCGTATCAAACTTAGAAATTAGGATTTCACATTAGTTTTAATTACATAGCAATTCGAGTCGTATTTTCGTAATAGATGTCCGATTACTCGAATCGATTGTTCGACTTTTAAAATTTATTAATAATTAATATTTTCTAAAAATACTTTAGGTTTAATAATTTAGATAAAAAAAATTAGCTTTTAAATTAGTCCTCAACTTTAGAAATTATGTATTTAGGTCCCCAAACTTTTAGTCTTTTAGAGTCCGATATTTTAGTTCTTTAACCCTTTTAGTCCCCGAACTTCGATTAATATTTTAATATTGACATAATTAAATAGGTTAAATAGGGCCTCCATTTTATATTAGATTTCAAACTCTTCTTTTAATTTATGGGATAATTCGAGTATGCCCTCGCGTAAATGCTCGAGGGACCATCTCGGTTATTCAATTCGATAATTGATTAAAAATCAAATAGGGTTAATATTAGAACCTACACTTCTAAGTTTGAGCCTTTAGGTCCTTTAACTTTCATAATTTGACACTTTAAGCTAGAAAAAGTCTTAGGGTCTGTTTGTTTGGATGTAATTGGTTTTCTGGAAAATGAATTACTGGAATTTAAATTACTGAAATTTGAATTATTACTGGAAAATGAATTACTGGAATTTGAATTCTGGAAAATGAATTACATTTCTGGAAAACATTTTCCGGAAAATGTTTTCTGTAAAATGAATTACATTTTTCTGAAAAACATCTGGAAAACGTTTATGATGATTGGAAGATGTTATTTAAACATTTTTCCACTAGTTAAAGAGTTTTTTAAAAATTATTTATTACAAATATTAAATACAATAAATAATATTATTTGTCATAAAACTTATTTATTATTAAATAATGTTTTTATAATTTTATTAATAAAAATATTAATTTTTTTATATTTTAGTGAAATAAAAATATTATAAATTATATTAATTATTTATTAATGTAATAGTGTTATATTATATTTTAAAAATATTAATTAGTATATTTTAAATATCTTTATTAAAATATTATTTAAATATATAAATAATATTATTCATTATTAAATATATAAAAAATTTATTATATATTATTAAAATAAAAATATAATATCTTATATTATTATAATATATTTATTATTTTATATAATATTAAAATATAATATTGTATTATTATAAATATTAATATTAATATTAAATTTATTAAAATAAAATATTATTTTGAGTATTTATTCTTTGAAGTGAAAAGTTCGGAAAATGACTTACGGAAAATGAATCCGTAAGTCATTTTCCTGAAAACACAAATGAAATTTTGTTACTAGGAAAATGAATTACGTTTCGGAAAACCAATTACGTGAAACAAACACTGAAAAATATTTTCCGGAAAATGAATTACGTGAAACAAACACGGGAAAATATTTTCCAGAAGACGAATTACGTGAAACAAACACAGGAATTCGGGGAAAACCAATTCCGTAATTCCAATTACAGCAAACAAACAGACCCTTAATTTACCTTTAGTTTAATTAAGATGAATAAAATTTTGTCTGATTGTATTTTATTTTCAAACCTAAGGCAATGTTCACTTATTAGAAAATTAATGGAACGTCTCTCGCAATTATGCTCAGGGGGTGACCACTGGTGATTCCCGAAATAGGTCGACATCCTTTTCAAAGTCCGCATCATGATTTTTAAAATCGAGGCAATGTCCGATTATTAAGCACAATAGTTCATCTCCTGCATTTATGCTAGGGGCAAATGCTATTGGCTTTAATAAACGAATATCCTTTTCAAATTTGCATTCGTAATGATTTTCAAACTAAATAAAGATCAAACTCAAAATTTTTGGTTTTAAATATAGAGTAATCAACTAGGTACCAATTTTTGTGCGCTTGTGGGGGTGCTAATCCTTCACCACGCGTAACTGACTCCCGAATCCGATTTTTGGATTTTCGCAGACCTTAAAACTCGGTATTTTGATAAAAAAAATAAAATGTTTTATTAAAATCACCCAGTTTTTATGGTGTTTCAATCACAACTTATGTGATTGGTGGCGACTCCCTACATTTCGAACTTTTTTCAAAGAGAAAACCCCCGAATTGGTATCGGACTTTCCCCGCCCGTGCAAAAAATGTGTCGACACAAATGTTTGCTTAGGAAATATAAGCTTAGTGCATTGTTAGGAAGGAAATAAAGATAATCAATATTAGTAGTTACTAGGCCATGACAATATGCTAATATAAAGAAAACCAAATGCAACAGAAAAGGAAGATTTTAAAATATAATTTATTAATATAAGATTAAAAACGACACAAATCGATTGTAGTTAAAAGTCTTATCAAGAGTGCAATTCTTTTAAGTTGGGTAGAGTAAAATTTTAATTGCAATTGAAAATGTTATCTTTTTTCACAACATTTTCAGTTATAAGACCTAAATCTCTCACGATTACAATAAAAAATATTACAAATTTATTTAACTTTTTATATTGAATATGATAATATTTTGAAAATTTGAAATTATATTAAATAAACCTTTAATTATACTGTTGCATAACAAAATTATACAAGAGAGATTACATTCCTTTTTGTATGTATATTTTTGACATCATAAAACAAATCACTTTTTATTTAAATTTGTTTATACAGTAACTGGTTAGATTTATTTGATGTGGTGCCTACCTTTACCGGCGTTTTTGAGAACAAACGCCACTATATGTTATAACATTTAGTGGTGTTTTCACAAACGTCACAAAATAAAATATATTTTAGCGGCATTCTTAACAACGTCACTAAATATCATAACTTTTAGCGGCGCTTTTTAATGCATTTTTTATTTCTCCACAAGGAATTTTAGCCGCGCTTAAAAACGCTGCTATATAACTTGAAAAACGCCGCTATGCAAGTTCTGTGTTGCATTCGTTTTTCCTTCAGATTAGCTTCTTGTTTCTTTAAACCTATTAAATAAAGGAGCAGGATATGCTAAGGACATGATCTGCTCTATTGCTTGGCACTAAATGCAAGAGACTGCACAAAGGCATGATATATTTACTTCTAAAGGAAATCAAAGAATTTTAGGTTTTTTTTATTATTATAAAATTTAAGATATTATTTTATGAAATAAACATTGTATTTAAGTTTAGGATTAAAGAAAAGAATAAACTAAAAATTTTGAATTCATCCGTTAGTGGTAATTGATGGCGAGCGGTGGAAAATGTTGATTAGATTTAAGAATTAAATTAATATTTTAGCAAAAGTTAAAAACTATTTTTTATTAATGTATCATCAAAACGAATGATTTAATATTTCAGTGATAAAAATTATTTATTAAAAAGAAATGAAAATGAAATGAATGTGACTATTTTAATAGACAGCCCTTAAATTTATAACACTTATACCCCATAAAAGTAATTTGCATATTTATATTAAATCGAATCAATTTTACAATTCATGCAATATATATATGAAATAATTTTAGATAAGACGATTATAAACATATTTTTTAAAATTCAATTATTATAATAAATCATATAAAATATGAAGATAACATAAATGGAACAAGCTACGTAATGTTTTAAAATGTGCATATAACAAAATTTTTATTGTGTAATACTTATATATAAATTTATAGGGCTTTTTTATGGGATGACACCTTTTTTACAATGGTTAAATACTGGTACATAAATTATACTTGATTCATTCATGTCAAATGTATGGTTCTTTGTCTCAATTTCATATATAAGATTCTATATCGTTGACAGCTTTACTCATTTGTGTGTGATTATTTTATGATCTCATTCATGTCAAATATATGGTTCTTTGTCTCAATTTCATATATAAGATTCTATATCGTTAATAACTTTATTCATTGTGTGATTACTTTATGATTAATTGATAATTTAAATGAGAAAAAGTGTATAAAACTACAACGAAAGTAATTAATCATTTAAGTTATCCCATATATGTATAGATATCAAAATTTGATATATAAATCCGGGGAGTGATCTCAATCCTAACAAAAAATTCATAATAAATTTAAATTCGAATAACTTATCTTCTTGGCGTGCGTTTGATTGCCATGTTTTAGAGGAAGGTCATAATTGATCACCAAATTTAGGAATATAAAATTATAAACTTTATTATCATAGTCAAATCAAGGGCAAAAGGTTATGAGATAATTAGTTCCACCGGTGCATGTAAATGTACTGGTTTTATCATCATAAGCATAACTATATGCCTTGGGACATTTGCTCTTAAAAAACTGGGAATATTCTGTTGTCTGGCATGTCGTCGGCAAACTATAAGCACCGGTGCAACAATATTGCGGCTGATTAAACGCCAAACACGCGCTCTTACAGGCGATAACATCACCTCCCCATCCCTTAACCTGCAATTCCGAGAGACAAACTGCGTTGATATCAAAGGCGCAACCTGTGGCGTTGCAATTCCACGATCCGCCCTGTGGGGTAACTGAAACAGGCAAATTAAAGCCATCGACGAGGCTAACATCATAAAAATCGTTTCCATTGTTTGGTGCTAAGGTGAACTCTATCAAAGACGCTGGAGGGATTGCACCCGCGCCGTTGCATGTAATTTCACCAGACCCGCAGTCGGCGGTGGCGCATTGGAACTTTCCATCGGAAATGTTGCAATTGGTTCGACCCCAAAAACGGCCGGACCAAGGCTGTGGAACATTTAAGGTCGATGAGGCCTGTGAGGCTAACTCGAAACCGGTCAAGGATAACTGAGGACCGGCACCTGCAAGAGTGCCGGGCCACACAGTGTAAGGGCAGTTGTTCTTGAACGCGAATACAGATGATTGAGCCTCTGCAACAAAAACACAAATTCAGAAGAAGAAAAAAAGCATGGAAGGAAAAAGAAGGGAAGGGTATTTACCATAGAAGAAGAAAACGGCCAGGGAAAGGACAAAGATAACTTGAACCTCCATCATTTTGAATTTCCTTTGTTGTGATTTCAGAGAAGAAAATGGTTCATATACTTCAACATGTTATGTCTTGCATGTCCGTATCAGTATTAATAAATGCTGGATTATGTTTTATAAGTTAAAGCCCCTCAAGAAATATTGACACCTAATAGATTCAAAGGAGGTTTGAAAGAAACAGATAGATTGAGTTTTGATTTTATTATTATTAATATTTAAAATTAATGATAAATCTATTTTTATATATATTAATTTAGGATTTTAAGAATAATAAAAATGATTAAATAAAAAAGTATCTGTAAAAGTGTAAATACTGGATTTAAACGATGTTGAAATAAAAAAGTTTATTGGATTATGGGTGACAAAAAAGCATTCAAAGATTGTTGGATTATCGTCTCATTAAGGAATTACAATTTGGCATCTCACACATACAACAAAAGTATCGTACAAAATGTATTGCTTTCGTTTTTATATATAAAATAATCTCATGTTGTCTCCTCGCCGGTCATATTGATTTTATTTTTGGACGATTTCAATTAGAAATCGACAAGTTTTCTTATTATTATTTTTAGTATAAATTATTTTATTAGTCACTAAACTTTAATTTATGTATCGATTTAGTCAATAAATTTTAAAATACTTTAATTTTAATATTGAACTTTCGATATTATTTATTTTTGTCGTAGGGTTGTTAATGTGTTGATGTGGTCGTTTCTCCCTATTTTTCTAATAGAAAGTTATCAACTTCTTTAATCGTCGTCGTTAGTTAATCATCACCCATTATTGATCATCATTTGTAACAAGATCGATATCAAAGTGTTCACATTTTACTCTTTTTTCTTCTCATTGGATTAATATTTTACAAAAACAACTAAAAATCATGAAAATTCATCTAAATGTTCAAAGTTATAAAGCTCTGATCTCCTTCAATGATCGTCTGATAAAACTAGTTTTAAGTATGTTGTCTGGTCTCCACCATCCGCCTCACCCCGAGCTAGCATGTAGAGCTACCATGGTGTAAGTGACATTCTCCTAGGTTCATGTGAAGCTTAGGTGTGTAGGCATTGGGACCAAGTGGATGGTACGATGTCTCTTTAAGATAAATAGCTAGGGATGGTTTGGGGCCTGTAGGTCTCATATCGTGCTCTTGGTTGAAGAGTGGGGTCGCAATGTAACATTTGTTATGCCTTGCGATATCTCTCTTTCAAGAGTACTTGTGACTTTGGAATTATATTGTGGCTTGTGGACTAATATGTTGCTTGTCTATTTAGACAGATTGTTATGAGATCGACTAATAAACCGAGGGAATAACTTTTGTCAAGTATGTCTTGATTTTATGACAAAATTAATCTGAAGCATAGATCATTGTGAGAAAGGCTGACTTTTCTGGAAATTGTTCAATTCAAATGTCACACGGCATAACGACAGGGTTGAGACGTTTTGTCTGTGACGAGTGACTTTTCACGGTTTAGATTTTCAAATAAACATCTCAAACCTCTTAAATTTAAAAAAGTCTTTAAAAAGTATAGATATTTTATGTATAATTTTGTGAGTTTTAATTTTTTTTGAAAAATCCAAATCGAGGTTGGGGGTTCCACTTGTCACAAGAAAACTAACTGAAAAAGATTGTCGAGCACTTCTTGACAATATCAAGAGCAGACTCCATCAATGGTCTAGGAAGAAGATGAGCTATGCAGGTAGAGTTGAGCTTATTAAAACCGTTCTCTATAGTGTTGTAAATTTTTGGTGTAGGCAACTTGTCTTACCTCAGTCCATTATCAAGAAGATTGAACAATTATGTTCCAGATTTTTCTGGAAAGGTTCGGACATTCCTGCAACTGGTGCAAGGGTGAGTTGGGGGAAAATCTGTAAGCCTAAATCCGAAGGAGGCCTCGGACTAAAGGACATAAAGACATGGAATAAGGCATGCCTAATTCATCTTACCAGGAAGCTACTCGCGGGGGAAGGTTCACTATGGGTTGCGTGGATCCATAATTACATAATTAAGCAACAAGATTTCTGGACCATGAATGAACATCCGAGTGCAAGCTGGTGCTTCAGGCGAACGCAGAAAATCAGAAGTGTTGCTAAATCAATTTCGATCTCAGCATCAAAAAGTACAAAAGAAATTTGGGAAGAGATCCGTCTTAAAGACACTAAAGTCCCTTGGCATAAATTGATCTGGTACCATCTCCATGTCCCAAAGTATAGCATAATTTCCTGGATGGTTATTTTGGATCGTCTCCCCACTAGGGACAAACTGCAAAGATTTGGGCTTGTTACCAGCAATCTCTGTATTTTCAGCTCGGATGCAAAGGAAACTAGAAATCATCTTTTTGCTGAGTGTGTGAAGACTACATCCATTTGGAAATCAATCCTTCAAATGTCTGGTTTGAACAAGCATTTCTCAACATGGAACAATCTGCTAGAGTGGGCGACCGCATCATGGAAAGGTAAATCACTGATTTCTTGTATTCTGAAGCTCTCATGGTGCGCTTTTAACTACACCATTTGGGAGGAAATGAATCGTAGGACCTTTAGAGGAAGTTGCATAACAGAACCAGAAATTGTCTATGCTATTAAGGATATAGTTGGATCTCTTCTAAGTAATAGAGATATTAACATAACAGATAGCACAAATTTATACCTTTGTACTCACTAGGGTATAGTCTAGCTTTGTTGTAAGTACCCCGCCATTGTTCCTTTGATTGTTTTGTAATGTAGCAGTTTATTGTTAATTTGGGTAATAATATCTTATTTATCCAAAAAAAAACAATTTTTTTTAGATAAACAATCTAGTTGAATATGAAGAACGGTGAATGAAAGAATGAAAATAGAAGTATTTAAGTAGGAATAAAAGTTATTGTAAATTTATATAAAGAATGTTGTCAAATATGTAAACCCACTCACTATGCACTAGTAACTTCAGTTTACTGTGTGCTTTTGCTCAGAAATTCAACTTGTTCTTTTGATTTATTTCCCATTTCATCTTTGTTTTTTTAATAACAAAACTCTAGCCGCTTAACACTATATTCATCACCACCTGTCGATCACCAGTATATCTCCGACCACCATGGCAGCTTTTAACGTAACCTTTTAAGTTAGGGGAGGTCTAAAACCCTACATTAATTCTCATAATTTTTTATTTCATAATTCAAATTCCATAATATAATTGCTAGAAAATGCCCTTCAATCCTTGGCCTCATTTCTACATAACAAATTATATATAGGCATTTTGGTCATTCATGTTATTATGGTTTAATACCTTCTTAAGTCCTCCAACGTTTATTTTTCAATAAAACCTAATCTAGTCCTTCATATTTAATTTCAATTTCAATGTAGTCCATACCTAATTTCCGGTTCGTATTTTTCTCCAGTTTAACAATAATTCATTCAGTAATTTAATCTACTAATATTATAAGAATAATGCGAAACTATCAGTCCCGGGAAATTATAATTTATATTGTGGAAATGGAATAGTATTATTATTGACATTTGAAAGGAAAGAGGCAGCATGCTGGGGGACGTTTCGGATTCCAAATATGGCGATGGAGAAGGTAACCTTAATCTAAAAAATAGCTCATTTTGGCCACATAAGGAGGGAAGGTTGAGGCTAGAATGGTGAATAATTTCTAAAATATTCTCTATTAAATTTAAGAAAAATTCTCTTGCCAAAAACTTAACTACAAACAAACCAAAATTTATCACACATCTTATAGATTTTATTACACTAATGAGTATTTTATCTATCAAATTTTATTTTAACAAATAATCTTAGATAAAATGATAAATAATTTATATTTAATTTTACTATATTGTCTTCAATTCTTAAGTGTTGATTTTTAATTTAATTTATTTAAAGATTATATGGGCTAAAAAAAATTACTATTAAAATAATATGTATTATAAGTTTAAATAAAAATAATTTAATAAATTTTAACTAATATAATACTTGATTAATTAGTAACATCAAATTAAATATAAAAAATACATATGTTAGTTGGATGATATTTGATTATACATGAAGAGTGCAAACCCGTGCTTCGCAACGGGAATGAAATTTAAAAGATGAGAATTAGAAGATTAAGAAGTGTTGGAGTGTTGTTTTTCTTTCCTATTTAGTCTACCATAAAGTATGTATATATATACAAGTGCATATATCAATTAGATTTCTACAACTGCTAGCTATCGTCTCGGGATTTATGTAATGCATAAGACAATAATGTACAAAAGTCACACAAAATACATCGCTTTTACTAATCTTTGACCAGCAACATATTTGTAACTCACTTTCTTCTTCTTTGGTAGTGGTGCAATAATGTCTGCATTTACCTTCTCATCCCCCATAATATAAATCTTAGCATCGTTATCCGCATGTGGTTTCTCGTTTTAGACAACGAATTTTGTAGTTTCAACATGCTTTATTTCAAGGATTGGGATTATGTCCAGTAATATGGCCTGAATTGGATCAGACAATAATTTGAAGATCACTTTCCAGTAATAAGACCTGGCGTTTGCCCCTCTTTTCAGCACTGTATTTGTATATGCTCTTCAGTGAATCATTCAAAACGCTGACCCTCACCATCCTTCCAAATACATGATATTGTTGAAAGCAAAAGCCGGCGGCCGCTTTTGGGGGGTTTGAAGATTAGTGAAAGAAAAGGCTTCCTCCTCCGTTTTGAGAACCGTGTGATCCAGGAGTGGGTAAAAGGGAAGTAGGTACTCATACGGGGTCGTACACGTGAGCAGTGTCGAAGACTAGGAAATGGGTCGAGTAAACTCCTATTTTGCTGAACTTAAACGGGTCAAAGGAGTCGGTCAAAGTTTTCAAATCAGCTTCTTAACTACCACGTCAGGCTTCTGTCACACAGTTAATTTGTTAGAAAATGATAACGATCATTTATATAATTTACCCATGTTTTTTTGGGTACATGAGGTAGGTAACTGGTTCATTGGCAATGTCAGTTTCACATGCATGACATTAACGACGAAGAAATATAAATGATATATTTAGTGCAATGCCGTAAATTATGACCCAACTCTACCAGAAATTAAGTCCTTGTGGAGAGGGCAGTCTGAATCCCCTTCAAGAAATGTCAAACTTCTTGCAGCTTTTGTCTCTCTCAATCATTGCACAAATCTTTCAAAATTTTTGTCAAAAAAGAAAAAGAACTCTTTCAAAATATCTACATCAAATTTCCAGAGTTAAAAGATAGTAAAAAAGGTGTTCAGTTCAAAATATTATATGTATTTTAAGTTAAAATAAATGAAAATTTTAAAGTTAATATATAATACACGTAGTTTGTTCAATTCTCAACTTCTCTATAGAAATTGAAAAGTATAATTAAATATTCAAATTACATTCAACTCAATGAAATTTATAAATTATAATAATTATTATAATATATCATATATATATATATATATAATTACAAATAATTATATTAAAAAATTGAGGTGACTTCTGAATATGAATATTCAATGGGGTTGGTTTAAATGATAAACAGTTTGATATCGTTTAAGTATGATTTGAGTTCGAGTTTTTGTATAGGCAAAAAATCTACAATGAAAGACTCACTCATCAAAATCAAGTGTGCAATACTGATTAAACCGAATTAATCAAGACAAAATCTTAGAACCGGATGACTAAAAAAAATCTATATTAGAACTCGAACTATTTTACAGATTTTGCATCAATCCGTTTTAAATAGGAAGAATTTTTAAGAAGTAGATGTAACGAAACAATTATGGAAAATGCTTGTTCTACTGTGTTCAAACTCATCATTTAAAGTTATTTTATCTTTTTATAATATTTTATATATGCTATTTTAGTAAATCTATACTAAAATCATAAATGTATATATGTATAAAATATTTATATTTACATATACTAGTAATTATATATTTTAAAATATTGTGAATAAATAAATTATAAATATTATTTTATAACATTAAAATGAAAAATCATTAGTGAAATAAGTGTATTAGTGCATCATAGAGTGACATTCATAGATAAGGATATTTCAATATCCATATAAACTGTGTCTTATTGATACTTGCTATAAGATATATCAATCTACACCTATTCATGAGTAGGGATGAAACTATATGAAATTAAAATAGAAACATGAAATCTCAAATTTTGATATAATTGAGGGATTAAAACCAAATTGGAGTGTCTGATGTCAAGGCAAGGATTCGAGACTTAAAACCGGCTCATGTCAATGGTTCACCTAAACTGAGGAATGATTTTTGAAAGCAACGTTTGTTTTAATTAAGTTGATAAACAAAAAGTTGGTTTTCCAGAGAGAAAAACAGAAAGAAAAGAATGGAATTTGCAGAACTGAGAGAAGCCATAGAGCAGATAGAGTTGGTGGATTCTCATGCTCACAATATTGTCCCTTCAGATTCTTCATTTCCCTTCATCAATTCACTGTCTGAAGCAACTGGCCATGCCTTATCCTTTGCTCCTCACTCCCTCTCTTTCAAGGCAATTCCACTCTGTCTCTTCTTCTTCATATTATTATAAATAATATCTTTCTGTCTTTTTTTAAACAAGGGTGTAAACGCTGTTAACTTCAAAGGGAGCTGTTTGATTACTGTTTTTTTAAAGGAAGCTTTTGGGACTTTGTTGTTTTCAATGTGGTGTACAAGTATTTGATTGTTTTGTTCTACTTTGTTTTGGATTAGTTTCAAACAATATTCAAGTTCTTTAATACATTGTTCACTGTTCAGTTATTTGTATGATAGATGCACTGATGGAGTCATAGAAGGGCCAGTTATGAATCTTACTTTGTAGGCTTGTTATTCGATATCATGATTGATTTTGGTGCTGATTTTGAAAATAGTACTAAAAAAGTTGGCTTTCCTTGACATTTTATGGGAAAAGGCTAAATGTGCCGTTTGGAAATGAATATTTTACTTTTAGAATAGAATAAGATACCTTTATCTACCGAAGTAGAAGAAAATGCAGTTTTTTTAATAACAAAGTACTTGGTTTTGTTGGAAGCGGAAGTGAACGCTCGATAATTTTCTAACTCGCATAATATTCTTGACACGAACTAAAATATAAATATGATATAAACACTAGCTGCGGCTAGTTTATAAACACAACCCTGCTATCTCAAACTTTGCTAAGCTATCTCTTGTATTTTTTTCTTTCTCACTTTCACTCACATACATGTATCCTGAACTAAGCTAGAACACATATATATAAATCAAATAACCGCCTCAAAATGCCTCATCATTTGCCGTGTTTATCTTCAACTTTGCAATTGTGTTGTTGCTGCCATACACGTTAATATGTTGCCATATTTCCAAGTGTTTTTGCTGCTCTCCTCTCCTTTAAGAAGGTTGTTTTATTTTTGCCACATCATTTGGTGATCATCACTTGCTTACCTTACCATAACACCCTTGTTTGCCAACATACCAGAATTCTAGCTGCTGCAATACCTTTTCAACTCTTTTTGCCACATGTAGATTAGATCGTAATTATAGTTTGCCAAGTGTTTTGTTACTTCCTTAATTCTTAAGCATGTGCTTCCAAGCTTTGCCGACATTCTCAGTGTAAAATCAAGTTTGAATTCTAACATGTTTTGCCTTTAATAGGCTGATTATGTTATAATTGATGTTACATTTTAATACTATTTTTTTTCAAGAAACAAGTAGTAAGATGTCAATGTTCATTGCTTGATAGCTTTGAAAAGTTGGGCTCTATCCTTATATTCTGTCAATCTAACTATTGGTTTTTTTGGCAGAGGAATTTGAGGGATAATGCAGAACTCTATGGCACAGAATCATCATTGGATGCCGTGGAACTGTATCGCAGATCATTTGGCTTAAAAGCCATTAGCTCGAATTGCTTTAAAGCTGCAGGAATCTCGGCTGTTCTCATTGATGATGGATTGAGACTTGACAAGAAGCAGGACTTACAGTGGCATAGAAATTTTGTTTCTTTTGTTGGTAGGATACTCAGAATTGAACACCTGGCCGAGGAGATTCTTGATGGAGTAGGATACCTTCTGCATCTTACTTTTCAACTTTATTTTATATTCTAATTTAAGATTATCATCGTAATATTTCATGGAGTATAGGACTATCTTTAAGTGAGAAAGCACAAAAGTTAGCATTGCTGTGAAATTAACAGTTATATTCTGGTGTGACATTTGCTGCCAGGAGGAGTATTCATATGCAATTTATAATTATGTATTACACAGGCAACTTGTTTGCAAAAAATAATAATAATAAAGGTTTGGAGTTGATAAATAATGATATGAAACTATTATAACTTAAAGAGAGTATGGTGGCAGATAGGGATGACGAGGATCGTTTACCTGAATGTCTTGGTTCTTGTAGCCAGATGGGCAACTTGTATGCAGAGTGAATATAAAGTGGTTTTGCCCGTCTTTTACAACATTTTTAAAACTTATGTCGAAACTTATCCTCCTTTTATTAGTTGCACTAAATTTTGCAATGATTTATGCCTTGGAGTTTTGAGGGTCTAGTCATAATGTGCAAGGTGGAGGTGCTGATTTAACTAGCATCTTTTAACCAAAATACACCCCAAGAGTGTTTTGTTTTGTCAATATTAGGTGTTCATTAGTTTAGTTTCTTATCATTGTTGTTATGTATGTTTACAGGAGATGCCGGATGGATCTACTTGGACACTAGATGGGTTCACTGAAACATTTGTGAGAAGCTTAACGTCATATCCTTTAAGATAGTTATAGACATCTAAATGGTAATATTTTATTTCTCATTAATATGTGGCTTGAAGAAGTTAGGCACCTTTATGTCTTTACCGCATGGTACCACTCGATGACGTTTTCATTCGTTGCTGAAAACTTGATAGACACTTAGTTCCCGTGTATTGGTTTTTAGTTGCTGTGAAATTTAAATTTAATTGCATGCATGTGATTGAAGTTTTAAGAATAGTTCTGTAACTTTGGTTGATTACCAATGAATTGTTATCGAGGTTATGCTGCCTAATTAGTAGGGAATAGGGATGAATACACAAGAAAAACTTACTGTCTTGGGTGGTTTCTTTAACTCAATGTTACAGTTGCAAATGAGATTGTTGGCTTGAAAAGCATAGCTGCATACCGTAGCGGTTTAGAAATCAACCCACATGTCACCAAAGAAGATGCTGAGGCTGGTCTTTCTGAAGTTTTAGAAAGTGAGTGGTATGTGCATATGATGCTCTACATCCATCACAGGGTATAAGTAACAATTTCCTATTGCAGGTGGGAAGCCTGTACGCATTGCCAATAAAAGCTTGATTGACTATATTTTCACGCTTAGTTTGGAGATCGCTTGTCAGTTTGATTTTCCGTTGCAGATACACACAGGGTAAGAGTTAGCATTTACATTATAAAATGTTCACCGATAAGCGCTCACTAATGTCAAATTAAGTTGGCATCAAACTAATATTGATGTCTGTGCAGAAGAAATGGTCTGGATTGTCTGGTTCCCTACTAGTTATTGCCCTTATCCGTGAACTATAATTGATTGCACTAAAACCACCTGTATGCTTTTTCTGTATCCCTCCCCCTTAGTTCTCATTTGTTTCATTTCTCCCACAATTAGTTTTGGAGACAAAGATTTGGATTTACGGCTATCAAATCCTCTTCATCTCCGGAAACTTCTTGAAGACAGAAGATTTTCTAGGTGTCCGATAGTTCTTTTACATGCATCGTACCCATTCTCGAAGGAAGCTTCATATCTGGCCTCTATTTATGCCCTGGTGAAAATTCTACCTCTGGTAAACCAATTCACTCAATTTATTATGTTCCTATACATGTAATGGTTTGTTCTTTCAGGTTTACCTTGACTTTGGGTTGGCAATTCCCAAGCTCAGTGTTCATGGGATGATATCCTCAGTCAAAGAACTTTTGGAACTAGCCCCCATAAAGAAGGTGAGAACACTTGTTTAAAGGAAATAATGAAAGCCTGGTACTTGGTATCCAAAGGATTCATCTATGTTTCTCCTCGGTCAATATGCTTATCTTAACCCTTACTGTAATTAATTTAGTAATCTTATAATTTCATATACTTTTTGTTGTTATTAGAACATGCTTCACTTGATAGTGTACGGAAGAGGTATTGTTGTGGTTTCCTTTTCAACTTTGTATATGAAGCTTGTTCTCAGATATGTATGCTAAGTTTGTTTAACAATAATTGATCTCAAACACAAAATTGCAGGTGATGTTCAGCACTGATGCATATGCAACTCCTGAAACATACTACTTGGGTCTGTCGAAGTTATCATCCCCTTTCATATTATAGAATAGCTAAAAAAATGATGCTGCTTTCTCAATTTGGTTATGGTTTTTAATGCAATTCTATTGTTAAAACATCGGAAAAGTATAAAAGCCTTGAGAGATCAGTCTATTTATTTGATAGAAAAATGGTGAAGTTCAAAAGAATTTGTTAGAAAGTAATGCTTCTTCAAGTTTTATATTTTCATAGCTTGCTTGAAGTGAATTCTATATGCTTGACTTAATCCTCTTTCAGGTGCCAAAAGAGCTCGTGAGGTTGTCTTTTCTGTTCTACGTGACACATGCATTGACCGGGATCTTTGAATCGCTGAAGCTATTGAAGCATCCAAGGATATCTTTTCTCAGAACGCAATTCAGTTATACAAGATTGATATAGGCAGGAAACCTTTTGATTCAAAAGCTAGTGAATCTCCCAACAGTTACATGATAGGGACAAATGTTCGAGAAGATAGTGTTTCCCTTGTTCGTATTGTGTGGGTTGATACTTCTGGACAACATAGATGCCGTGTAAGGTTTCTTTTTCTTACTAGAAGTTATTCTTTGATTAAGTTTATCTGCACAACTCTATGGAAGACAGAATTTTATGGCATTTCCTTTATCGGTATCTTAGAAACGTGGAAAATGGAAGGAAAAAAGAATGCTGTTTCTTCCTAAATTTAACATTATTCGTGCCTGAAAGGACGAAGTAAATTTTGGTTGTAACATTTCAGGTTGTTCAAAAGAAACTCTTTGATGATGTTGTGAAGAAAAATGGTGTTGGTTTGACTTTTGCATGTATGGCTATGAGTTCAGGTACGGATGCTCCGTCTGCTGGAACTAATCTGACTGTGACGGGTCAGATCAGGCTTATGCCCGATCTATCAACTATGAGGGAAATTCCATGGTACAGTATCTTTGAGGAATAAATGTCTGGTTTTCACACTGAAATATTTGTATATGCCTCATTTAACTCCTTGACGTATTTTACATGCATTTATATCATTGCTGTATGATCTTCGATGGCGATTGTATGAACATCACTGTGTTCATCAATGCTACACGTGAAATAATGAGATGCTCACTTCCTTTATAGGACAAAACAAGAGGAGATGGTTTTGGCTGACATGCACCTTAGACCTGGTGAACCATGGAAATACTGCCCTAGAGAAGCATTACGAAGGGTTTCAAAAATTTTAAAAGATGAGTTCAACTTGGTACGTCGTGTGGTCTGTGATACTTTTCATAATGAGGGCTATTCCATGATTAACTAATGAATGCTATATGCGCAGGTAATGAATGCAGGATTCGAAAGCGATTTTTTTCTCCTGAAAAAGCTCGAAAGGTAGAGTGATTACGCCGGCTTGTTCCTTTTTGTCTTGGCAACCTTGGGCTCCACACGTTTAATGAAATTTTGTATTGAAATTATTCAGGGAGGGGAAAGAAGATTCCTGGGTGCCAATTGACTTGTCACTTTACTGCTCCTCCTCTGCATTTGATGCTGTCTCCACTTTATTTAAAGAAATTGTTGCAGCTCTCAATTCCTTGAATGTCCCTGTTGAGCAGGTACGGATTAGAAGTCATATATGCTTGACATCGGCATTTGTTCGTTCCTATTTAACTCTCAGTAGTGACAGCTATCATTTTCTCTCCTTTCCTTCTTCCGTCCCATGTATGCTACATTGTTCTTCTCCTGAATAGCAAGTTCGATAATTACCTGCTTCTGTTCACTTACTTTAGATTTTAAAATCTGCAGTTGCATGCAGAAGCTGGACATGGTCAGTTTGAATTGGTTCTGGGGCACTCTGCTTGTACTTATGCCGCTGATAATTTGATTTTAACACGCGAAGCTGTTAGGGCTGTTGCAAATAAACATGGGCTGTTGGCAACTTTTGTCCCCAAGTAAGTTGAATTCCTTTTTCTTATTTTGAGCAATGCTTTTGCATCCTTGCACTTTATGCATATAGTTTTCGATATTGGGGGATAAACATATACAAATGGAAAGACTTGTGGATTTAAGAATGACGAAAACTTGCCCTTGCAATGCTAAAATATCCTAACTAAAAGCAAATGGTTAAAATGAGAATGCACAGATGATTATGGGAGGAATCTTTTGCTAATCATTTGAGTTAAATTTCATGTCGAACTTGCACGTTGCTACCGTGAGCCTTTCTTGCATGTCCGGCTTTGAATGTTACAAACTTAACATTTTAAACCATATTTCTCCTCAGGTATGCTTTGGACGACGTAGGTTCGGGATCCCACGTGCATCTAAGTTTATGGAAGAATGGACGGAATGTTTTTACAGCATTGGATGCATCTAGTCAGCACGGAATGTCGAAAATCGGGGAGGAGCTCATGGCCGGGGTTTTGGCCCATCTTCCTTCGATTTTGGCATTCATAGCATCAGTTCCGAATAGGTTTATTTCTCCTCCCTTAACATACGTTGGAGGTGTGTATCCGATTTCTTGCCTCACTTTCATTTACTTATCCAACTCTTATTTGTCTTCAGTTATGCTCGAATTCAACCTGATACATGGAGTGGAGCGTATTGGTGCTGGGGAAAAGAAAACAGAGAAGCACCTATAAGAACTGCATGTCCACCGGGAATCCCACATGGTCTGGTGAGCAACTTTGAGATTAAATCTTTTGATGGATGTGCTAATCCGCACTTCGGCTTGGCTGCAATACTTGCTGCTGGAATCGATGGCCTACGGAACCACCTTCCTCTGCCTGAACCTATTGGTACTCCAAAGATTTTAGAATAGTGTTTTTTTTCTTCTTCTTAAACTCCATTAATATCTTGATTTGTTCTTCTTAAACTCCATTAATATCTTGATTTGTTTCAACAATGTAATAGATGAAAACCCGGCTATACTCGATGGGAAACTACCGAGACTCCCGATGTCACTTTCGGAATCGGTGGAAGCTCTTGAGAACGACAATGTGTTGAGGGAGATGATTGGTGAAAAGCTTTTCACAGTTATAACAGGAGTTCGAAAGGTAAGTTCCAGCCATGTTCACTAAAAGGTTAATTTTTTTTTAGGGAAAATTTCAATGCATAAACTGATGCGGATGCCAATGCCAACATATATACAGGCGGAGATTGAATACTATTCAAGGAACAAGGAGGCATACAAGAAACTTATACACAGTTATTAAGCCGCTGGTCGGCCAATTGTATCGATATCCGGGCATTTTCTGTAGGCAAACTCCATGATCCCTGTGCTTTGGTTATTCCCATTGTGTTAAAAAATGGAGGAGAAGTTCCAATAATTAGGGGAAAATAACATGGTTCTAATCTCGACTATAATCTCATTTATAGTATAGATGAGGGATATTTATGAATGTAACATTTTGTAGGTATCAATTACAATAAAAACTTTTACGATGAGCCCATGAGAACTATATTAATTTCAATTTTTAGATTAAAATAAATTATTTTAAACCATATATTAATTCATGTCGTTAAAAGAAAAAAGTCAATAATAAATCTTTGGGTAAAGTATACAATTAGTCACTTGGTCCTCAATTATATTTAAAATTTCATTTTGCCATTATGATTTAGAAAACATTAACTAAATCACCCACAATTTTCAATCCCACAAAGTTTGCACCGTTCTGAATTCCAAAATCAGAGCTTTCTTTCGGAGGAAAACTTGTAACTGAGTCGGTCTTTAGAACTGCTCTTGTTCAGTATGGACTCAAGAGTGTTGAGTTCATTCCGAACTATCTGGAGCCTCGGAATATGCCCTGGTGTGCCAAAGTGGACATGGATAAAGAAAAGCAACCTGAAGTTGTCATCTCGACGTTATCAGAACTTCCTTTTATGATGTCTGGAATGCCGAGGCCTGTAAGGGACCTGCTGCTCTGCCTAAGATGTTTTGGTGATTGTCCGAGAAAGCCTGGTCGACAGCTTCATGTCCATTGGTTGGACCCTTCTGATCCCAATTTTGAGGTAGCAAACAATCTCAAGCAGCTTGTGAAAAAGCATGTCACTGGAAATCCAGTGATGCTCAAGGTAAATTCTAAATATTGAGACCTGAAAATACAGAGGTTCTCATTCTTGATTTGTGACTGCCAAGGTTCTGGTCTGTATGTACTCTCTGTTATCCATCAAGGAAGGCGAGCAGTGAGAATCTCTTCATGTTCTTCTTCCTCCTTACCTGTATCCTTAAAAGACTTGAATAATCTTACTTGATATTATTTTTTCATATGTGATATACATATATGATGTACATCTCCAAGTTTTATGGAAGGGTCTGCTGTATGGAAGAGAGACATTAAAACAGAAACCAGAGGGTAGGGCTCATCAAGGCCGTGGATGTTGCTCTTAAATCGCAGAGATATCTTTATTTTCTTTTTTGCGATGATTTTCCCATGGCTGATTGCTGGAATTAACTTGAGTTATAGAGTATCAAGTGCAAGTGAGTTTTAAAGGTTGTTCCTTTGAACTAGTGAAAATTAACTCCATTAATAAAGGATACCAGATACCATTCTTATCTGCAGCATCTTTTAATCTTAGAGAGAATGAAAAATTTAACCAGTGTTGTCGATAAAAGAAAATTTCGTGTTGGAAGAACAAATAGCTTGACAGTGTTTTACTAACCAATTCAGTACATTTTAAATTACATTTTGTCGCTGCTCATTCTCAGGTATCTTCATTGATCATCTTGAGACCAAGAGTTTAAAAATAAACTGAAAAGAGAGAAGAAAAAAGAATACAGTCAACATGGAGAAGGGAACAACAACACAGCCATATCAGCATCCAATCATTGACAGATCAACTCTGATTCATCTGTTAGACTGTAACCATATTGTCTTCCCCTCTGTGTGCTGCGGCATCCGCCAGTTTTTTCCACGTCATTTCTCGTTGCTCTTCCACCTCTTGCGCTCTGGCCACTTTCTCTTCAAATTGTCTCTCACACTCGTCAAATAACTCGGCATCCATTTCCATGAACATTGTCGTAACCGGTTTTCGTCCGGGCACGAAATATTAAAATTTGGCGGGGAAATTAATATTAATAAATAATTTTGAAAATAATTTGTGAGTCGCCATCGGCCTTTTTGGATCAGGTAGGTCGAATACCTAAAAATTATTTTTTAAAAGAGTTTTAAGAAAACATCAATTAAAAAATTGAACTGATCTGCGTTTTATAACCAAAAATTCATTCTTTTTAATAATAAAAAGGGATTCGTGGTCGGTTACGTTTAGGGAAGGATTAGCACCCCTACAACGCCCAAAATTGGTACTTTTTAATTATAAATTGTCTCTATTATTAAAAATTTAAAAATTCAAAAATATATTTAATTTATAATCTTATAATTTCAAAATTGTAAAAAAAAAATATTTATTTAAAAATATCCGAAAAGAACTTCTAGGTGCCTTAAGACAGCTCTTTTCTTTGATATTGATAAATATTAATTTAAATAATATTGTTTAATTTTAAAACATCAGAATAGGACATCCAGTTGTATTAAGACTGTCCTTTTCTTCGATATTAAAAATAAATATTAAAAGTTAATATTTATATATATTTATGAATATATATCAAATATTTAACAATATAATAAATAATAATTCTATTAAACAATATATTTAAAAACAATAAAATAAATAAAGACATATAAAATAAAATTATAAAAATAAAACTAAACTAATTACTAATTAATTGAAATTATAGGGTTTAAATATTTTTTTTATTTAATAATTTAATGACCAAAATAAACTTATCTAAAATTCAAATTTTATAATAAAATAAATTAAAAGTATGAACTAGGGACTAAAAAATTATTTATTAAAATTAAGGGATTAAATCTGTCATTTATCCTAAATATATTATTTAATTAAAAAGACTAAAATGAATAAAATTAAAATTCAAAGACCGAATTAAAATTCTTATAATTCAGTTTAGTGACCAAAATGTAAAGTTTACAATATGAAGGATGCGGAAGGGATTTAACTATTTTGTAATTACGCGCACAGTCCTTCCCGAAACGACGTCGTTCGGGAAGGACTATATAAGTCCAAATCGGCTGGCCTTCGGGCCAGCCATTTCATTTTTTTCTTTCTTTTTTTTTCTTTCTCTCAAACAGAGAGAAGAACTCTCTGTCTTCTCTCTAAACTGAGAGAAGTTCAGTCGGCCGGCAGCCGTTAGCCGGCGTTCATCCGCCGTCAACCACCGCCGCCGGCCACCGTCTTCGGTGGCTGGAAAATTTTTTTATATCTAATGTAGATCGGACCGTCCTAATGACGGTCCCGATACTTTTTTCCGTTAAATGACTCCCAATCGGAGCAGATCTACAAATATACCTTCGGTTTTTTCGGTTCTCCGGCGATGTTCAGCGTTTCCGGCGACGGTCAAGGTTTCCTTGGTAAGCTTCTCCCATCTCTTCTTCTTTTGTTTTTGCTCTGTTGGGATCGTTGGTAGTTTTATATCTCTCTATTTTCCCTTTTTTTTCTTTTTGGTTCAGTCTCTGTCTCTTCTTGCTGTCTCTCCCCTTTTTTTTTCAGGTGGGTGGTGGCTTTATAGCCACCACCGGTGTTCGTCTCGGACCGGTCCGAAGAGGGGGCTTCGGTGAGTCACCGGACTACCAGTGGTGACTCACCCGTAGCCTTGGCGTGGACGGCCGGTGTTCTAGCTTCTGGAGTCTTCGGCTGGGACGTGGCAGCGGCGGAGGCGGTGAGGGCTTCTGGAAGCAGCAGCAGCGGCGGCCGCGTGGCCCTAGGGTATCATACCCTAGGGTTTGTGCTGGATGAGTGTGGACCGTTGGATCGTGCCAGATCCACGGTTGTGATGAGGCGGCTGAGGATGATTAGGGTTAGGAAACCCTAACTGGAAACCCAAATATTTAGGGTTTCCGGTTGGATTTGGACCGGTTTCAGTTGGTTTGTAACTGAGCCGGTTTAATTGTAATTGGTTTGTATTAATATATTTAATAATAAAAAAAATAATAATAATAATAATAATAAAAATAATAATGATAATAATATTAATAATGATAATAATAATATTAATAATAATAATATGGATAAAAAATTAATATCTTCAGCTGCCCCTCTTTGCTCATTATTGTGTTAACAAGAATAGGGCAAAGATGAAAAGATAATAAAATTTTTTATCCATTTGACTTTACTTTGATCATAATGGAGATATTGAGTAAATTCTTCTCTCTCTCCAAATAAGTTATTCTTATTATGAACTTTCTGCTGGGGATGATGATGACCTCCTTTCTGTGATAGAGTCATTCAAAAGGTTGAATAAGCTCTTGATGAGTTCTTCTCATTATGAACTTCTTCTTCCTTCTTCAGATGACGAGTTCTTCTCATTATGAACTCTTCCTCTGGAAATGTTGATCCATCAAATGATGAATTTAAACAAAAAGTTGAACAAGTTCTTCTCATTATGAACTTCTTCTTCCTTCTTCAGATGAGTTCTTCTCATTATGAACTTTCTCTGGTAATGTTGATCCATCAAATGATGAATTTAAACAAAAAGTTGAACAAGTTCTTCTCATTATGAACTTCTTCTTCCTTCTTCAAATGAGTTCTTCTCATTATGAACTTTCTCTGGAAAAGATGATCCACCAAATGATGGATTCAGGTAAAAGGTTGAACAAATTCTTTTCATTATGAACTTCTTCTTCCTTCTTCAGATGAGTTCTTCTCATTATGAACTTTCTGGAAATGCTGATCCATCAATTAATGAATTCATGTAAAAGGTTGAACAAATTCTTCTCATTATGAACTTCTTCTTCCTTCTTCAGATGAGTTCTTCTCATTATGAACCTTCTCTGGAAAAGATAATCCATCAATTTGATGAATTCAGAAAAAAGGTTGAACAAATTCTTCTCATTATGAACTTCTTCTTCCTTCTTCAGATGAGTTCTTCTCATTATGAACCTTCTCTGTCAATGATAATCCATCAAGAGATGAATTCAGGTAAAAGGTTGAACAAATTCTTCTCATTATGAATTTCTTCTTCCTTCTTCAGATGAGTTCTTCTCATTATGAACCTTCTCTGGCAATGATAATCCATCAAGAGATGAATTCAGGTAAAAGGTTGAACAAATTCTTCTCATTATGAATTTCTTCTTCCTTCTTCAGATGAGTTCTTCTTATTATGAACTCTACCTTGCAATGTTAATCTTTCAAATGATAGATTTGAATCTTTGCTAAAATCTTTGAAATTCCTGTTAAAAATTCAACAAGAATAAAAATGAATGAAAATGCATCTATTTTTGTAAACACCTAAAATATGATGCATGAATGTTAAGTTATTTGATTTCAGATTGGTGAACTGAATATTTCTTCAGTTGTAGAAACCCAATAAATCTTTCTTCTTCGAATCAAAGAATCTATCATCTTTGACAAATGTAGATGTAGATATACTGTCACAGAACCTCTCGAGAATAAAACTCAATAGTATAGGCTCTTGAAAAGCTTGTATTCAGGCAACATGTTAATCCTGATAGCAAATCATCTGATTATGAAGTAATCTTTCAGGATGATTTCACAGATATCGATAGTTCTTCTAATACCGAGAAATCTTGAATTCTGATTCTGATGAGGAGAATAAACTGTTATACTTGACAAAAATGGGATTCTCAAAGGCTGAAACTTCAAATAGCTTTCTTTCGGTAAAAGATGGGAAGCCATTACGTGATGATCCCAGTTACAAGCAAAGGCGAAACTTGTGCTATGATTTTTGGGAAAGGAATAAGCAAAAGAAGCTTGAAAAGAAACTTCTTAATGAAGAAGATCATGCAGTTCATCTTTTAATTCTAATGATTGGTTCTGTAGTTCTTACCAAAACAGATCAGATAACTCAAAGAACACTTCCAGAAGATGCTATTTTGTCTAATCAGATCAGATAACTCAAAGAACACTTCCAGAAGATGCTATTCTGTCTAATCAGATCAGATAACTCAAAGAACACTTCCAGAAGATGCTATTGGCAAATTCATCTTCTAAATTCACTGATTGGTTCTGTTAAACCAGATCAGATAACTCAAAGAACACTTCCAGAAGATGCTATTCTGTCTAATCAGATCAGATAACTCAAAGAACACTTCCAGAAGATGCTATTGGCAAATTCATCTTCTAAATTCATTGATTGGTTCTGTTAAACCAGATCAGATAACTCAAAGAACACTTCCAGAAGATGCTATTCTGTCTAATCAGATCAGATAACTCAAAGAACACTTCCAGAAGATGCTATTGGCAAATTCATCTTTCATTTAATGTTTGGACTGGGATATCACAGTACTTATTCGATATAAAGCCAGAATTTGTAGATTCGAAGCATTTCCATGCTGCTACACTAAAAAAGGTTATATTCATAATCTGCCAACAGAGTTTCTCTTATCATGCTTCATTCATGTGCTGATGCTTTTTCATTGACAAAGAATGATGGCTTTCATGGGATCCAAGAACAAAGTTGAACTGTTATAAACATGTACAGGAAGTGCCAAATTGACAGAAAGGATCTGTAAGGCTTTTGAAGCTTATGACAATGAGCCACCTTCGAGTGTCCAGAAGTATGTTCTTGATGAGTGCTGAAAATGGAATCTAGTATGGGTTGGAAAGAAAAAGTTACTCCAGTTACTCTGATGAGGTGAACCTGATGAGGTGGAAATGCTTCTAGGTTTCCTTAAAAATCATATACAAGGATCTGTATAGAAACATGTTTCCTAGTGATATCAATGTCTTGTTTCTTTTTGCTGGAATCAGTAATGCAAAGATCATCTTCTACTGTTTTGAAAATAGATGTGCAAGAACTGAATGGTGATCGGTTGGAGCAATTGATGAGTAGATTTGACGGATTCGACCTTGTTGTCGGTTATATCTAGCATAACACCCTTATTGTTCAAAATGGTGATGATTTGCTTATTTTGTATTCCATGTATTTAAAAGTATTAACATAAAGTGATATTCAGAAATCTTTAATTTATTTCAAAA